ATTATTGAGACGGTCGTAAGTGTGAGCACGGTTTGTAGGTCGCTTTTTTCAGCACCGTTGTAAACCGTTCAGAAAGGCCACTAAATGTACGTGTAGTTGTAAGTTGGGGACCACCTGTATTGATACACAGAGGAGTACAGATAAGTCCTCGATTTACAACAGTCTATTTAGCGACCGTTCGAACTTACAACGGCACCGAAAAAAGAGATTTAGGACCCTTTTTTCACACTTACGACCGTTGCAGCCTCCCCGTGGTCATGCTGTCAAAACTGGCAACCGGCTCATATTTACGACGGTCGCAGCGCCCCTGGGGTCACGTGATCCCCTTTTTACGACCTTCTGACGAGCCACATCAGCGGGGGGGGAAGCCAGATTCACTTAACAACCGTGTGACTGTGGCAAGCAAGCTCCCTGAACAGCTGTCTCGCTTAACGACAGCAATGTTGAGCTGAGCGGCGATAGTAAGTCGAGGACTACCTATATATTAGCGGCAAGCCTTCTCGGTCGTCAGCAAAAAGAGCCGAAATTAACATTATGTAAATGATTCCACGGGACATTCCCCCCTCTTAGGAAGAAAATCTCAGATTCCCAGGACGCCCAGACCGGAGAAGCGGGAGAGGGGAGGGGGGGGGGGCTGTTGACAAAGAATAATAATCAAAAAGACAAATACACCAACAAGCCATCTTTTTCCCTGTACGTGTCAGGCTTAAACGTCCCTCCCCGTCCCCCCCCCTCCATCAGGCCTATCTGTGTTCATTTCATCCCCCATTCTTCTTCCGTTGTCAGATGGGCTTGCGGGCACCCCCTCCCTTCCCCCTGCCCACCCGGGGGTCCCCACGGGGAGGGAAGGCTGCTCCTTCCGTCTGCCTCACATAACCCCTTAGCCCAGGAAAGCAGCGAGTTCATTTATTCGTGCTGGAGCCCCAGCAATTCATTTATCTCTCTTTTTTCCTATATCTCTGACAGCTTGACATGCCGCCGGTTCTCACCAATGCCATCGCACGGGGTGTGCACACGCACAGGCACAAACACAGACACACAGACACACACACCAAACAGAAGCCCTCCTGGGCCCCTGCATTCTACATTCCTTCTCATCGGCCTTCCCGTTCCACCATTTAAAATAATAATAATAAAAAAAATTCTGGGGTTGGTATTTGGGAGCTATTTTTGGTTTTTTACTCTAATCATTCCAGTAACGATATTTAATGATCGTTGTTTTATTTAGGCCTTTTGGGTTTTGTATTCTTTCTTTCTTTCTTTCTTTCTTTCTTTCTTTCTTTCTTTCTTTCTTTCTTTCTTTCTTTCTTTCTAGGATTGTAAGCAACAGACGTTTTGGCCTCTGTAGTGGCCATAAATTGAGAACTACCTGACCAGTGACTCCCACGTCCTCCAGTGTTGTGGGTGCTCCAGCACGGGAGGCTTTTAAGAAGAGACTGGTCAGCCACTTATCTGAAATGGTACAGGGTTTCCTGCTTGAGCTGGGGGTTGGACTAGAAGACCTCCAAGGTCCCTTCCAGCTCTGTTATTCTGATGATAGATAGATAGATAGATAGATAGATAGATAGATAGATAGATAGATAGATAGATAGATAGATAGATAGATAGATAGATAGATAGATAGATAGATAGATAGATAGATCTAATAATATAGTGGATAAATGATATCAGATGATAGATAGAAGGTAGGTACGTAGGTAGATATATAGATACTGTAGATAGATAGATAGATAGATAGATAGATAGATAGATAGATAGATAGATAGATAGATAGATAGATAGATAGATAGATAGATAGATAGATAGATCTAATAGTATAGTGGATAAATGATAGAGGATAGATGATAGATAGAAGGCAGGTACATAGGTGGATGGATAGATAGATAGATAGATAGATAGATAGATAGATAGATAGATAGGTAGGTAGGTAGGTAGGTAGGTAGGTAGGTAGATCTAATAGTATAGTGAATAAATGATAGAGGATAGATGATAGATAGAAGGTAGGTACATAGGTGGATGGATGGATAGATAGGTAGGTAGGTAGATCTAATAGTATAGTGAATAAATGATAGAGGATAGATGATAGATAGAAGGTAGGTACATAGGTAGATGGATAGATAGATGATAGATGATAGATTAGATGATAGATAGATAGGTAGGTAGGTAGGTAGGTAGGCAGGCAGGCAGGCAGGCAGACAGACAGACAGACAGACAGACAGACAGACAGACAGACAGATAGATAGATAGATAGATAGATAGAAGGTAGGTACATAGGTAGATGGATGGATAGATAGATAGATAGATAGATAGATAGATAGATAGATAGATAGATAGATAGATACATTGACCAGCAATGACATGGGCTTAGGACCATGTGAGTCGAAGGCTAGAAGGATCCATAGCTTAAACAGAATCGGTCAGTTGATGCTGAGGGCCTTATGTCAGCTCAGCCGGGGACCATGTATGACTTTCTGTGTTAGGCAAATCTAGAAAATTAGCTTGAGTTAATCCACGAGTAGTCACTCTCTCCACTTTTTAATGTTTGCTCTCTGCATCCCTGAGCAAACACCCTGAGCCGCTGATCTCTCCACCACATACTCGAGAATCCAAAGTCCAGAAAGTTTAGCAATGGTGAAAAAAAAAAGTTTGCCTCGGCAAATATTTACCTACCGCTACAGAATGCAGAGCTTAGTGCAAACCCCTAAATACGTTAAACCGCAAGGCCGATATTTCCAGGCTGGCCCAAAACGATACGATTGTGTGGAAGGTGTTCTTTGCGTCATTCAGCGAGAAGCAACCACGATACCTGTAGACCAGGTAGCTTTTTTCTCTCCGAGAAGAAGCAGGCTATTTTTATTTTAAAAGAGGGGAGAGTGGAAATTGCAGAGGTAATATTCTCCGTCCCTTGGACCCAAATTATTCCTTTATTCTACATACAGGTAGTCCTCGCCGTACGACCGCAATTGAGCCCAAAGTTTCTGTTGATAAGCGAGACGTTTGTTAAGTGAGCTTTGCCCCGTTTTACGACCTTTCTCACCACCGTTGTTAAGCGAATCACCGCAGTGGTTAAGTTAGGGGCACGGTTGTTAAATGAATCCGGCTTTCCCACGGATTTTGCTTGTCAGATGGTCGCAAAAGGGGATCACGTGACCCCGGGACACCGCAACCGTCGTAAGTACATGCCAGTTGCCAAGCGTCTGAATTTTGATCACGTGACCACGGGGATGCTGCAACGGTCGTTAAGTGTGAAAAGTCACTTTTTTGTTATTGTAACTTTGAACGGTCACTAAATGAACTGTTGTAAGTCGCGGACTACCTGTATTACATTCTGACTTTCCTTTTTGCTTCCTTTTTGGCGTGAAATCAAGCCTTTTCTTTCTGCTCTTAATATTCCTGCAGGTTCTGGAGGAGAATCAGTGCAATAAGTGATCCCAACATCCAACATTCATACATTTGCCAGAAAAAAAAAATGATTTTTTTAAAAAAAATCTCACTTATTATTCCAATCATCTTCTCCTAGTAGCAGATCCAGCCCTTCCTGTTTGAAATCTCTACTTCGAGAACTGTCTGGTTTGGTACCGCAACTAAACAGGACCGATCCAGACTCAACGGACAGTCATAAGTCACCTTTTTCAGTGCCAGTGTAACTTAGAACAATCACTAAGCGAATTGTTGAGGACGACTTCAACTTGCCTCCCAGAATTTGTGAATGCTCCAACGCTGGACATTTTTATGAGGAGACTGGACAATCAATTGTCTGAAATGGTACAGGGTTTCCTGCCTGAGCAGGGGGTTGGACTAGAAGACCTCCAAGGTCCCTTCCAATTCTATTCTATTCTATTCTATTCTATTCTATTCTATTCTATATTCTGTTCTATTCCTACTCCTATTCCTATTCCGATTCCTATTCTGATTCCTAGTCTAGTCTACAATCTATTCTATTCTATTCTATTCTATTCTATTCTATTCTATTCTATTCTATTCTATTCTATTCTATTCTATTCTATTCTATTCTATTTTAGGCTAGGCTAGGCTAGGCTAGGCTAGGCTAGGCTAGGCTAGGCTAGATTACATTCTGTTCTGTTCTATTCCTATTCCTATTCCTATTCCTATTCCTATTCCTATTCCTATTCCTATTCCTATTCCTATTCCTATTCCTATTCCTATTCCTATTCCTATTCCTATTCCTATTCCTATTCCTAGCCTAGTCTAGTCTACATTCTATTCTACTCTACTCTACTCTACTCTACTCTACTCTACTCTACTCTACTCTACTCTAGTCTAGTCTAGTCTAGTCTAGTCTAGTCTAGTCTAGTCTAGTCTTATTACCTGTATTTCCTTGTTTGAAAAATCAACATTGTTTTTTTTCTAAATCATATCCATTAACTCCATTTCTTTGGCAAGGTAACAGTCTCCGGCTTCCGTTCACCACCTCATAGTTGCCCCACCTGATTTACTCATGTTTTCCCTATCAATTCATTTTGAGCACAGCCCCTCCGACATTCTCCGCCCTAGCAACAAAGTTTATATAACAGCTGGCCTTTGACGGAACCGAGTTTCTTGACTAGAGACAGCTGGTCAACAGAAAAATCTGAGGTTTCAGTGTTTTGTTTTGTTTTTTAAAAAAAATACAGGTAAGAGAATGTACAGGAAGCCCGTGTGGAAATGTTTGCAATTCCTCTGTGGATGCCAAGTTTTGGGACCAGGTGGGAGAATAAATAGGAAAACTTTGAGGCATCTCTGGGCAACCTTCTAGAATTGTGTGTTTTGTTTCCAGCTCATAAATTACTTTCGGTTAAATTGGGCTGGCTGGTTTGTAGTTTATTATGTTAAAAGAAACTAGAAACAACACATGAGGGTGGGGTTTTTTTTGGAGTAGGTTAATAGTAGAAAGAAGAATAAGGAAGGGGTGGATCCATTGTGAAGAGAAGAATGATAGGATAGGAACTGGTGACAGTGCTTTAAAGCTTACTGTGGTGTCCTTGGTGCTCTCTGAGCTTGGCTGTTTTCTTCCATACCTGCAACTAGGGAACAACATCAGTGCCAGTAAGGAGTATTTTAGTTTATATTTTATTTAGGTTATTTGTTTGGGCTATTTATTGTTAGCTTGTTTGGCAATTCCTTGATTAGGGTATTGTTTACTTGATTGTTGGACTGGGGTTAATCAGTCTTCTCTCTGGGGGAAAACTGGGTTCAAATGGACTCGAGCAGAGCCATCTTAAGTCATGATATGGATGATTGATCTGGGTCTACCATGACATGGAAACAGAACAATTACACCTTGTTCATCTTGGTTTGGAACGTTCTGTGATCTCAGCCCTTTTGCACTGACTATCAACCGCAATTGTTTTGATGAAAGCTTCCATGTCGGTCTGAAATTTTAGCCTTGGTTTGAAGAGATACTATTGCCAGGCTGGGGGCTATAAAAAGTGGTGAGAAGGTTATATCTACGCCCTAGCCATAAAAGGTGGCTTTCAAACCACAATTGCTCGTCATGCGACATGAAGCTAAACAAACTGCATGATTGTTCAATGGGATACCTTGACTTGATCTGCTTTGGATGAGGCTGTAAAGTGGACTATGTCAGATTAGATTAGCTGTTAGTTAGGGGGGGGGGAGAACTCTGTTTAGTGCTGGGTATTAACACAGAATGACTGGCGGTCCTTGTAAAGCCATTATGATACCAGATGGAGCTGGAAAGAAGCTTGTGGAACAAGAATAAATTTTGCTCTGGATGCCTTGGAAGAGAAATAAACCTAGATAGCGAAGCAGCCCAATTTAATAGAGTTGCAATTTGAAACTTGGGTTCAAATTCTGCTGTATTAATGAATGGGGGGGGGAGAGAGATGGTGTCCTGGCCTTATAATCTAAAAAAAAAGTGAACTTCACCATCAAGAAAAGGGGAAAAATATCGTTTACTTTTTTTTGTCAAGTTGGTAGTCCTCAGTCTATGACCACAATTGGACCAGACTTTCCATTGCTAACCAAGGCAGTTAAAGTGATCTAGGGCTGATTTTACAACCTTTGTTTGCCACGGTTTTAAGTGAATTACTGCAGTGCTTAACTGAATTACATGGCTGTTGAGGAAATCCAGTTTCCACCGTTGACTTTGCTTGTCTGAAGGCCCCAAATGAGGGTCACAGGACCCCGGCATGCTGCAATCATTGTTAAAGGCTGGTGTGGTGGCCAAGTGCCTGAATTTTGATCACATGACCGTGGGGATGCTGTCGTAAGGGCGAGGATGCATTATAAGTCCCTTTTGTTCAGTGCTGTGGTAATTTTGAATGGTTGCTAAATGAAAGGTGGTTAGTCAAGGACAAGAGTAGGCCACCTTGGCTCTTTTATGACTCGTGGACTTCAACTCCCAGAATTCCTGAGCCAGCCATGCTGAGGGGAAAGGGAGAGGTTTCCATGCTGAGCCATGCTGGCTCAGGAATTCTGGGAGTTGAAGTCCACGAGTCATAAAAGAGCCAAGGTTGCCTACCTCTGGTCAAGGACAACCTGTATTAAAAGTAGAAAAACGGGCCTAGAAACCATCCAGCGGATGTCCCAAAAGTGCTTTCAAAAAGTGGACTTTCCTGTTTTGCTTGAAGACGTTTCGCTTCTCATCCAAGAAGCTTCTTCAGTTCTGACTGAAAGGGTGGACAATGGAAGGATATGCATTCCTTGCGGTCACCTGGTCATCACTCCTCTTCCTGAGAGTCCCTGAGGCCACTTAGACGTTTCTCTCTGCCCTCAGGGTCACCTGAATCCTGTAGTCTGCAATATTATTTTTTCTTCTGAAAATCCATTCATACTTCCACACTATTCCAAGGGTGTTCGTCCCCAAATACATAACTAAACGTCTATGGAGATTTTCAGTCATCCAGGTCACTGTATCTAGCTGGGGAACATTAGCACACCTTTGCTATTCAAATTGGCTAAGTTTTATCTGCGGGGAAAAAAAAAGGACGGTAGGAAAATCTACTGAATACGGTAGCAAGAGAGAATGGGAAAAGACCACTCTAGGCTTTCCAGAAGTCTGCAAAAAAGATGTTTTCTTAAAAACAAAAAGCGGAACTGGAAGCCGAAGGCAAATTTCCAGGAGCTGACTTCCTGTCAGTTGGTGCTGCCAAGAAGCCGTACTACTACAAATGCAAAAACAGGAAAAAACAAAAAACAAAAAAACCCTCAACGGCGCTGAAGGGCGATGTGCAAGTTAGACGCCAGCTTGCCTTGAAATCAATGGGATTTTCTTTCAACGGAACGTTTTTAGGATTGGATGTTAAGGTCATCAATTGCAGGCAACTCAAGGCCCAGTTAAATGTTTAATTCCCATTGATTCCAACAGGGCTTTCTCTTCATAAAAGCCTAGCTGAACCTTGGAGGCTCACTTGGTTATTGTAGCCTGGGGTTTTCTCTTACAACAACAGATATATCTTCATGAATTCACTTCTCCCAAAACAAGGTTACCGGTGAGCAATTAAAAAGGAACCAAAAGAGAGAGAGAGAACGATCGGAGGGTTTTTGTTCTCGCTGAAGTCTGAGCGGTAGATATCAGTAGGGGATCATGGAGAGAAATAATAGTAGTAGTAGTAGTAGTAGTAGTAGTAGTAATTTCTCCCACACCTCACCTCTTAGCCATTTATATCCCATCCATTGTAGGTGGATCAGGAATGAGCTACGTAGTGTCACCTTTTGAGTGACACTCTAATAATTAATAATAATAATAATAATAATAATAATAATAATAATAATAATAATAATAATAATAAAGTTGGAAGGGACCTTGGAGGTCATCGAGTCCAACTCCCTGCTCAGGCAGGAAACCTTACCCCATTTCAGACAAAGGGCTGTCCAGTCTCTTCTTAAAAACTTCGAGTGTTGGCGCATTCACCGCTTCTGGAGGCAGGTTGTTCCACTGGTTAATTGTTCTCACTGTCAGGAAGTTTCTCCTTAGTTTTAGGTTGCTTCTCTCCTTGGTTAGTTTCCATCCATTGCTTCTTGTCCTGCCTTCAGGCGCTTTGGAGAAGAGCTTGACTCCTTCTTCTTTGGGGCAGCCCCTGAGATATTGGAACACTGCTATCATGTCCCACCTCGTCCTTCGCTTTATTAAACTAGACATACCCAATTCCAGCAGTCTTTCCTTATATGTTTTAGCCTCCAGTCCCCTAATCATCTTTGCTGCTCTTCTCTGTACTCTTTCTAGAGTCTCAACATCTGTTTTTACATCGTGGTGACCAAAACTGGATGCAGTATTCCAAGTGTGGCCTTACCAAGGCATTGTAAAGTGGTATTAACACTTCACGTTAATACCACTTCAAGTTTGGTGAAATCCTGGCAGCAGGGCCTAATTCAAAGGTTGGCACCCTTTTGAAAAATTCTGGGATGGCAAAGTTCAGATCAACAGCAGGCTAAGTACGGGTAGCCCTCGCCTTACCAGAGTCCATTTAGTGACTGTTCAAAGTTACAACGGCAGTAAAAAAAGGGACTTATGGCTGCTTTTCACACTTACGAGTGTTGCAGCATCCTCGTGGTCACATGATCAAAATTCAGAGGCCTGGCAACTGACTTGTATTTATGACTGTTGCAGCGTCCCAAAGTCATGTGATCCCCTTTTGCGACCTTCGGAGAAGCAAAGATAATGGGGAAGCCGGCTTCGCTTAATGACCAAATTACTAACTTAACAACTGCAGTGATTCACTTAGCTTCTGCAGCAAGAAAGGTCGTAAAATAGGGCAAAATTCATTTAACAAGTGTCTCACTTAGCAACACAAGTTTGGGGCTCAGTTGTGGTCGTATGTCAAGGACTACCTGCACATACAGAGAATCCTCAACGTATAACCATTCGTCAAGCGACGGAAGTTACAATAGCGAGAAAAGTGACTTATGACTGGTCCTCGCACTTACAACCAGCATCCTCACAGTCATGTGGTCGAATTTGGGTGCTTGGCAACCATGTATTTACGACAGTTGCACTGTCCTGAGGTCATGTGATCGCCATTTGCGACCTTCCGACAAGCGAAGGTGATGGAAAAAGGCTGGATTTGCTTCCCGACTGTGCAATTCAATTAACAGCTGCAGCGATCCGCTTATCTGTGGCAAATAAGATCATAAAATCAGTTGTGACTCGCTTTAACAACCACCTAGTTCAGGGGTAGGCAACCTTGGCTCTTTTATGACTCATGGACTTCAACTCCCAGAATTCCTGAACCAGCATGGCTCAGCTTGGAAACCTCTCTCTTTCCCCTCAGCATGGCTGGCTCAGGCATTCTGGGAGTTGAAGTCCATGAGTCATAAAAGAGCCAAGGTTACCTACCCCTAACCTAGTTTGACTAGATGACCTCCAAGGTCCCTTTCAACTCTGTTATTCTGTTACCTCGCTTAGCAATGGAAATTCTGGTCCCCACTGATGTCATAAATGGAGGACTATCTCGACCGAGAAATGAAACATTATCTGGATACTACATTTTGTTATCATAGTATTGCTCATTCCTACGGATTGTGGATAGGGTAGAATCTGGTCCCTTCAGTCCAGCACCTTCACTGTTGTACCACGCTGGCTTTTATTCTGGGGAGAGGTCAATGGAAGGAGAAGTTATTTGCAGAAACTATGAAACTTATCAGCACTGCATGAGCAAAACTCTTGATAACCAAGAAATGGTGGCCCTCCCTTCAGGGTGTAGTGCCACCCTTCCATTTTCTCCTGCTCTCCATCCCGTTTGCTTCAGATAACCACAGGACACCTGATTAGGTCCCACGCGTTTCACGTTTCATTGGAGGAGTGACCACTACAGATTTGCAAAAAGGTGTTAGGTGTGGATGTAGAGGGAAATCTTGGGCTCACAAACCACCATCCCAGGATACTGAGATGTTCTTAGTGCTGCTCTCTGAGTTTGGTTGTTGGCTTGCAGATGTTTCATACCCAAACTGGGTGACATCAGCTACATAACATCGTTTACGTGGTTAGCAAAGGAATTTAGCTAAGCTCATAAAACCCACCAGGCTGAGCTAAAATGGCCTTGTTTAGTTTATGGGTTATGCTATTGTGTAAGCCTAAGTGTTGTCCTTGGATGCATTGGATAAGCCATCATGTTAAACCAGGTTAAGTTTTATTTCAGTACCATATCTGCCAACATAAATAAAACAGGAGGTTTTTTTTAAACAGAAGTTGAGACTGGTGTAGTGCTTAAACCCAGATAGAATACTGTTTGTAAAATATAATTAGAGTAGGGTAGGGTAGGGTAAGGTAGGGTAGGGTAGGGTAGGGTAGGGTAGGGTAGAGTAGAGTAGAGTAGAGTAGAGTAGAGTAGAGTAGAGGGGAGGGGAGGGGAGGGGAGGGGAGATGGGAGAGGAGACGAGAAGAGAAGAGAAGAGAAGGGAAGGGAAGAGAAGAGAAGAGAAGAGAAAAGAGAGGAGAGGAGAGAAGAGAAGAGAAGAGAAGAGAAGAGAAGAGAAGAGAAGAGAAGAGAAGAGAAGAGAAGAGAAGAGCTTTATTGATCAACTATGATTAGACACCCAAGGAATCTGTCTCCAGTGCATTAGCTCTCAGTGTACATGCAAAACAGAGATGATGATGATGATGATGATGATGATGATGATGATGATGATGATGATAATAGTAATAATATCAAAGTAATAATAGTCATAATAATGATACCAATAAGAGAAGGTAGTGGAAAAGATAAGGATAATAGTATATTATTGGGTATACTTAGACATAAGACAGTACTGTGGGAATTAGGTGTTCAGCAGAGTGATGGCATGAGGGGAAAAAACCCTGTCTAGTTGTTTTGGCATGCATGATTTGAAAACATCTCACAAAAAAACAGAAATGGTAGAGAATGGTCTATCCTACATGAACTTAACCAGCAGCTGGTCCACCTGTCCCACATTGTGAGGGGGGGGGGGAAATAAATACGCCAGCATGTCTGTGTCACTGGGTTTTATTACAAACAAATCTTAATTGATTGCTGTCCAAACGCCTCCAGTCTGACAGCGGGGCTACCGCAAAATACACAATTAAAACAAATAGGCGCTTCCTTTTCACAGTCATAGCTCTGAGAACGTGATTTATTTATTTATTTTTCCCCTGCTCATGTCCGTTTGCTCTGAATATCAGCTTGGCTGGCATGAGAATGTTGCTCGCTCAAAGTCTTTCCTTGATGAACGAACATTTTTACAATTGAGGTCTTGTCCTGTTCAGGCACTGTCTTGCGCAGAATATTCATGGGGATGGACTGGGGACAAATGGGATTGCTCTCTCAGAAACTTCCCACGTCCCTGGAGGAGGAGAATTTTTTTAAAAAGAGCCCATGGGAAGGGGCCAAAGGTCACACCATGGTCTGAATAGCAATGCCAGAGGAGGCTCAGGCACATCTGGATTGGCGCGTGCATCTCCCTTGTGGCCATACAAAGGGTGCCTAACCTGCCCATTCCCATCAGCTGTCACAAGGTGCCCTGAGAGAGGAGGCGTGTGTGTGTGTGTGTGTGTGTGTGTTTGTGTGTGTGTGTGTAGTAAAAGTAATCCTAACCTCTGAAAAGAAGAAGAGCCTTAAATGGCAGAAAAGGCAGAAGAAGGTATGAATTGCGACAAGCCTAAAAAATAGGTGGAGTTTTATACCATTTCACCTATACCATTTCAGACAAATGGCTGTCCAGTCTCTTCTTTAAAACTTCCAGTGTTGGAGCATTCACCACTTCTGGAGGCAGGTTGTTCCACTGGTTAATTGTTCTCACTGTCAGGAAGTTTCTCCTTAGTTCCAGGTTGCTTCTCTCCTTTGATTAGTTTCCATCCGTTGCTTCTCGTCCTGCCTTCAGGCACTTTGGGAAATAGCTTGACTCCCTCTTCTTTGGGGCAGCCCCTGAGATATTGGAAGACTGCTATCATGTCCCCCCTCGTCCTTCTCTTCATTAAATAATTGGTCCTCCTCTCCTCCTCCTCCTCCTCCTCCTCCTCCTTCCTAGGGTTAACATGGCCTATCAATCAGAGGTGATCATTGATGCTCAGCCACAACCTGCAGGCACCAGCTACACCTTCAATAATCAAGGAAACTGGAATTCGGAGTTGTGCGACTGCTGTTCTGACCTGGGCATCTGTGAGTAACGGAAGCATTTTGGGGAGCAAAGATGGGGATCTCTCATTGCCGGTCTTTAGGTGGGAAAAGCAAGGACCTGGGGTCTCCACGAAGGGGTCGAACCTGTCAAGACGGTAGCCACAAATGCACCATTAAAACTCTGCTCCTTTCCTGCGAATTGCATTTTGGCTTTTTTTTTTTGGGAACCTACGGCAGATGCCCTTGCCCAAATCATAAATGCAGGTGGTCCTCGACCTACGGCCACAATTGAGCCCAACATTTCTGTTGCTAAGCGAGACCGTTGTTAAGTGAGCTTTGCCCCACTTGACAACCTTTCTCGCCACCGTTAAGTGAATCGCTACAGTTAAGTTAACAACGCGGTTGCTAAGGGAATCTGCCTTCCCCATTAACTTTGCTTGTCAGAAGGTTCACCAAAGGGGATCACATGACCCCGGGACACTGCGACCGTCATAAATATGAACCAGTTGCCGAGCGTCTGAATTTTGATCACATGACCATGGGGATGCTGCAACGGTCATAAGGGTGAAAAACGGTCACTCTTTTCAGTGCCCTTGCAACTTAAACAGTCACCGAACTAGTGGTTGTTTAGTGGCTGGCTGGGGAATTCTGGGAGTTGAAGTCCACAAGTCTTAAAGTTGCCTCAGCTTGGGTACCCCTGGACTATAGCCTGAATACCAGACTCTGATCCCCTTGGATAAAAGTCATCTGCCATTTGTGTTGATCTCTCAAGGAGTTTGAGAGAAGTTCACCCTTTCCTTTCCTTTCCTCCAGGTCTTTGTGCCACTTTTATACCCTGCATCCTTGCCTGTCGGGTCTCAGAACAAGCTGGGGAATCCTTCTGTCTCCCATTTTTGCCAGGGTCTCTGATCGCTCTCCGTACAGGTGTGCGTGGAAAATACGGTATTCAGGTAAAAGGCGGAGCGTCAAAAATAAAAACGCAAACGGAGTTGGGGGAAAGAGGGCGGCTGTAACCCAGATAATAATAATAATAATAATAATAATAATAATAATAATAATAATAATAATAATAATAATAATAATAATAGTAATAAAAGTTGGAAGGGACCTTGGAGGTCATCTAGTCCAACCCCCTGCTCAGGCAGGAAACCCTATACCATTTCAGACAAATGGCTGTCCAGTCTCTTCTTAAAAACCTCCAGTGTTGGCGCATTCACAGCTTCTGGAGGCAGGTTGTTCCACTGGTTAATTGTTCTAACTGTCAGGAAGTTTCTCCTTAGTTCTAGGTTGCTTCTCTCCTTGATTAGTTTCCACCCGTTGCTTCTTGTCCTGCCTTCAGGGGCTTTGGAGAATAGCTTGACTCCTTCCTCTTCTTTGGGGCAGCCCCTGAGATATTGGAACACGGCTATCATGTCCCCCCTCGTCCTTCTCTTCATTAAACTAGACATACCCAATTCCAGCAGCCGTTCCTTATATGTTTTAGCCTCCAGTCCCCTAATCATCTTTGTTGCTCTTCTCTGTACTTTTTCTAGAGTCTCAGCATCTTTTTTACATCATGGTGATGTAAATGCCGTTTTTCTTCCCTTAAAGAGACAAAAGAAGAAATCACCTCCCCTCCTTCCTCCATCTTGAATCTCATCATGAATACGACCTCCCATTTTAACCCAGGGCTTTGTTTTTTCCACTCAGGGGTCTATCTGTGAAGACTGGATGGTCATGTCCTGCTGTATGCTGTGTGGTCTCTGTCAGATGGCTAGAGAGCTGAACAGGAATTGAGAAGACAGAAGAAGTGTCCTGTCTTCACTTGGAGAAAGCAAAGGAAGAGTTGAAGAAATGAGTTGGGGGGGGGGGGAACAAAGCTAGAGCTGACAGATCTGAAGTGAGAAAGAAAGAGGATCCAAAATTACAGCGGAATTAATTTTCCTGCCTCGTTGTTTACTAAAGTTTGCAAATGCAAAATTCTACCGAAAAGAATATGCACCAAAACACACACACATATTATATACGTATATAAAACTGAAAAACATCGAAGAAGAAGAAAAAAATTACAGCCCATAAAGAATTAGATATAATGATGAGTAAATACAAAATTATACTTATCTTCTAGCTGCTTTCTTTCTCTCTTTGGTCATCTGATCGCCATCCAGAATCTTGCAGACCAGATCTGATAGTCCTAAATCAGGGCTCTTCAAACTTGACAACTTTAAGCCTTGTGGACTTCAACTCCCAGAATTCTTCTGTGCTGGCTAGGGAATTCTGGGAGTTGAGGTCCACAAATCTTAAAGTTGACAAGTTTGGAGATCCTACGGTGAACTAGATTCTGAATGCAGCGGCCTCTTGATGCTAACAAAAGAGCATACTCTTGCAAGAAGATTCAATAACAGGGATTTTTTATGTTTATTCCACCCTGAAATCAATGCCCTAATAAATAAATCTGGATCTAAGATTGTGTGCATTTTTAAAAATAATACTTTTGGAAATGGGAACCGTCATGTTCCTTCCGATTGCTTGGTAACGTGTTTGTGAAACGTCACTAAATGTGCTGAAATCAGCTGATTTTTCTGGCTATAAGTGAACATTTCAACCAAATAGCTCTGCGCTTTCACACATTATTCTCTCACAATTGACTTTATTCATTTAAAATATTCATGCAGCTGCCCATCTTAAAACCATTCTTGACAGCTTTTAACTTGCAAAACAATATAAAACATAAAAAAACATTAACTTGCAAAACTATAAAACATTAAAAAAAATAATATAAAAAATTAAAGCGATAAAAAATTAAAATGCAAACTGGTGCCACAACCACACACTTCTACCACTTTCTGATCCTGTTCTGAGCTCATTTTATTTCAAAACTTAGGAGAAGAATAGGCGTGGAGTGTCTCGGGAAAGATAAAGGGGGGGGGGCTGTCAAATGTCAAGGGGGAGGGAGTTTCATAGGGTGGGGGTTACAATGGAGAAAGCATTCAATGTCCCATAAAATGGCAATATTTCAAGGAAGGGATCTGCAATAGGCCTAACGTATCTGCTCTGGTGGGACAGACAGATGTTCTCTTCTGCAGTTGCAAGTGCAAGTAATCCTTGACTTGCAACATTTCAGTTAGCGACCGTTCAAAGTTACAATGGCACTGAAGTGACTTATGAACATTTTCACATGACCGTTGCAGCATCCCACGTGGGTCACATGATCAAAATTCAGACCCTTGGCAACTGTAAGGACCCACCTCAGCTAACCACCCAAGAAAAGCAGAACTCTTGAAACAGGCCTTGTCTCAAAAGGAGGGTTCAGTGACAGGAAGGAAGTCAAGGCGAGATCTGGGGAAAATCCCGCTTGAAGGGTATAGTTCAGGGGTAGGCCACCTTGGCTCTTTTATGACTCGTGGACTTCAACTCCCAGAATTCCTGAGCCAGCATAGCTCAGCTTGGAAACCTCTCCCTTTCCCCTCAGCATGGCTGGCTCAGGAATTCTGGGAGTTGAAGTCCACGAGTCATAAACGAAACCAAGGTTGCCTACCCCTGGGATAGTTAAATCAGCAATAGTCCTCCTCCCACCAAAGTCATAATGTCCATTTGAAATCTAGCCAACCCACAGGTGGCACAATGAGTGGGGAACCGACACAGTTGGCACGCAGCTCAAGGTCTTCTCCAGCTTTCATTTCTCTGTAACCGTCTCCCTGATAAGGGAGACACATTCCTTTCTCAGGTGGAGAGAGGTGGAAGAAGGAAAGCAGAAAGCGAAAAACACTCCTAGATTGGGGCTAAAAGCAATAAGTAGATTGCTTTGTAAACCGGGTGTTCTGACAGACCGGCTTCACCGGGAAAACACTTAATTCCTCTTCCCTGGTTCAGCTGACAGAAGTGAGGAGAGCCTGTGGCCTAGAGGTTAATACAGCTGCCTAACCTGCAAGCAGCCCAGGTTTGAATCTCAGAAGGGTATGGCTAGCTGATGAGAGCTAAATAGCTCGAAATAGCTATACTCGTCTCCCTTTAACTCTTTGTCGGCAAAAATCCAAATATATTTGGGGACCTGACAGCAATTTGTTCATATTTATGACGGTCCCGGGAGTCACGTGATCCCCTTTTGTGACCTTCTGACAAGCAAAGTCAATGGGGAAGCCGGATTCATTTAGCAACCGTGTCACTCACTTAACAACTGCGGCGATTCATTTAACAACTTTGGCAGGAAAGGTTGTAAAATGGGACAAAATTCACTTATCCAATGTCTCACTGGATAGCAGAAATGTTGGACTCAATTATAATCTCAAGTCAAGGACAACCTAAACAGAATTTGCATAGCTATACATATGGATGGATGGATATGGATANAGACAAATTGCTGTCCAGTCTCTTCTTAAAAACTTCCAGTGTTTGGAGCATTCACCGCTTCTGGAGGCAGGTTGTTCCACTGGTTAATTGTTCTAACTGTCAGGAAGTTTCTCCTTAGTTCTAGGTTGCTTCTCTCTTTGGTTAGTTTTCATCCCTTGCTTCTTGTCCTGCCTTCAGGCGCTTTGGAGAATAGCTTGACTCCCTCTTCTTTGTGGCAGCTCCTGAGATACTGGAAGACTGCTATCATGTCCCCCCTTGTCCTTCTCTTTGTTAAACTAGACATACCCAATTCCAGCAACCGTTCCTTATATGTTTTAGCCTCCAGTCCCCTGATCATCTTTGTTGCTCTTCTCTGTACTCTTTCTAGAGTCTCAACATCTTTTTTACATCGTGTTGACCAAAACTGGATGCAGTATTCCAAGTGTGGCCTTACCAAGGCATTGTAAAGTGGTATTAACACTTCACGTGATCTTGATTCTATCCCTCTGTTAATGCAGCCCAGCACTGTGTTGGCTTTTTTGGCAGCTGTGACAATGCCTTTTTTCTTCCCTTAAAGAGACAAAAGAGGAAATCACCTCCCCTCCTTCCTCCATCTTGAATCTCATCATGAATTCGACCTCCCATTTTAACCCAGGGCTTTGTTTTTTCCACTCAGGGGTCTATCTGTGAAGACTGGATGGTCATGTCCTGCTGTATGCTGTGTGGTCTCTGTCAGATGGCTAGAGAGCTGAACAGGAATTGAGAAGACAAAAGAAGTGTCCGGTCTTCACCTGTAGAAAGCAAAGGAAGAGTTGAAGAAATGAGTTGGGGGGGGGGGAACAAAGCTAGAGCTGACAGATCTGAAGTGAGAAAGAAAGAGGATCCAAAATTACAGCAGAATTAATTTTCCTGCCTCGTTGTTTACTAAAGTTTGCAAATGCAAAATTCTACAGAAAAGAATACGCACCAAAACACACACACATATTATATACGTATATAAAACTGAAAAACATCGAAGAAAAAGAAAAAAATTACAGCCCATAAGGAATTAGATATAATGATGAGTAAATACAACATTATACTTATCTTCTAGCTGCTTTCTTTCTCTCTTTGGTCATCTGATCGCCATCCAGAATCTTGCAGACCAGATCTGATAGTCCTAAATCAGGGGTCTTTAAACTTGACAACCTTAAGCCTTGTGGACTTCAACTCCCAGAATTCTTCCGTGCTGGCTAGGGAATTCTGGGAGTTGAGGTTCACAAATCTTAAAGTTGCCAAGTTTGGAGATCCTACGGTGAACTAGATTCTGAATGCAGCGTCCTCTTGATGCTAACAAAAGAGCTATGCTCTTGCAAGAAGATTCAATAACAGGCATTTTTATGTTTATTCCACCCTGAAATCAATGCCCTAATAAATAAATCTGGATCTAAGATTGTGTGCATTTTTTAAAATAATACTTTTGGAAATGGGAACCGTTATGTTCCTTCCGATTGCTTGGTAATGTGTTTGTGAAACGTCACTAAATGTGCTGAAATCAGCTGATTTTTCTGGCTATAAGTGAACATTTGAACCAAATAGTTCTGCGCTTTCACACATTATTCTATCACAATTGACTTTATTCATTTAAAATATTCATGCAGCTGCCCATCTTAAAATCATTCTTGACAGCTTTTAACTTGCAAAACAATATAAAATATTAAAAAATAAAAACCAGCAGCGATAAAAAAAATTAAAATGCAAACTGGTGCCACAACCACACATTTCTACCACATTCTTATCCCGTTCTGACCTCATTTTATTTCAAAGCTTGGGAGAAGAACAGGCATGGAGTGTCTCGGGAAAGATAAGGGGGGGGGGGCTGTCGAATGTCAAGGGGGAGGGAGTTCCATAGGGGGGGGGTTACAATGGAGAAAGCATTCAATGGAGATGTCCCACAAAATGGCAATATTTCAAGGAAGGGATCTGCAATAGGCCTAACGTATCTGCTCTGGTAGGACAGACAGATGTTCTCTTCTGCAGTTGCAAGTGCAAGTAATCCTTGACTTGCAACATTTCAGTTAGCAACCGTTCAAAGTTGCAATGGCACTGAAGTGACTTATGACCATTTTCACACGACTGTTGCAGCATCCCACGTGGGTCACGTGATCAAAATTCAGACCCTTGGCAACTGTAAGGACCCACCTCAGCTAACCACCCAAGAAAAGCAGAACTCTTGAAACAGGCCTTGTCTCAAAAGGAGGGCTCAGTGACAGGAAGGAAGTCAAGGCGAGATCTGGGGAAAATCCCGCTTGAAGGGTATAGTTCAGGGGTAGGCCACCTTGGCTCTTTTATGACTCGTGGACTTCAACTCCCAGAATTCCTGAGCCAGCATGGCTCAGCTTGGAAACCTCTCCCTTTCCCCTCAGCGTGGCTGGCTCAGGAATTCTGGGAGTTGAAGTCCACGAGTCATAAACGAAACCAAGGTTGCCTACCCCTGGTATAGTTAAATCAGCAATAGTCCTCCTCCCACCAAAGTTATAATGTCCATTTGAAATCTAGCCAACCCACAGGTGGCACAATGAGTGGGGAACCGACACAGTTGGCACGCAGCTCAAGGTCTTCTCCAGCTTTCATTTCTCTGTAACCGTCTCCCTGATAAGGGAGACACATTCCTTTCTCAGGTGGAGAGAGGTGGAAGAAGGAAAGCAGAAAGTGAAAAACACTCCTAGATTGGGGCTAAAAACAATAAGTAGATTGCTTTGTAAACCGGGTGTTCTGACAGACCGGCTTCACCGGGAAAACACTTAATTCCTCTTCCCTGGTTCAGCTGACAGAAGTGAGGAGAACCTGTGGCCTAGAGGTTAATACAGCTGCCTAACCTACAAGCAGCCCAGGTTCGAATCTCAGAAGGGTATGGCTAGCTGATGAGAGCTAAATAGCTCGAAATAGCTATACTCGTCTCCCTTTAACTCTTTGTCGGCAAAAATCCAAATATATTTGGGGACCTGACAGCAACTTGTTCATATTTATGACGGTCACGTGATCCCCTTTTGCGACCTTCTGACAAGCAAAGTCAATGGGGAAGCCGGATTCACTTAGCAACCGTGTCACTCACTTAACAACTGCGGCGATTCATTTAACAACTTTGGCAGGAAAGGTTGTAAAATGGGACAAAATTCACTTATCCAATGTCTCACTGGATAGCAGAAATGTTGGACTCAATTATAATCTCAAGTCAAGGACAACCTAAACAGAATTTGCATAGCTATACATATGGATGGATGGATATGGATA